GCGCGATTCCGTACTTTAGTTGTTAAGTATTCTGTACCGCTGAGATTTAATTAAGAGAAATATAGACGTTGACTATCTGTTAAATATTGAAACCAAAGAACTAAAAATAAGAAAGTATTATGAAGTGCACGAAATAAATCTCTTAAGTACAATTTAAGTATTTTGTATATTTTAGAATATTTATTTTCTATATCAGAAAGCCAACAGATCAGTAAAAACAGTGAAGAATATGCTGCAACGAACCCAAAAATTTTGAGTCAGTTCTTCAGGATAATGGGAAGACGGACAGTGAATCAAGAAACCACTGATATAAGCATGGCTCACATTGAGAGATATTATCGATGTACTTCGCAATAAGAATATGTCCATCAAAGTAAAGAAGGTGTACAGAATGATAGTAAAGCAAGTACTTCTGCATGGAGCTGAGTGAGACTATCCTGGAGGGACAAGAGTAACGGCTGAATTTGGTACAGATGTAAATATTCAGATGGATCGGTAATGCCAGCAGGAAGACCATATCTGAAACTAGTCCATAAGAGGCACTTTGGGTATAGCAACCATTTCAGAAAAAATTATCGAAAGCGGGTTTGGTTATACGAAAAAAATATCTGATGAGTACGCTGGAAATGTGGTTAAAGTACTGACATTACGAGTTACGAAGAGAAAGGGGCGACCACGATATGAAACTGTGAAGAGTACGAAAACTGTACAAGCAGTTAAATCGAACAGCGGATATCTGCTATTGGAAACAGGCTAGGCAAAAGAAGAAATATATTACATAATTCAATTAATTTCGCACACCTACACATGAACTAAAATGCACCCATACATAGTAGGAAAAAAATTTTACTACAATGCACTAACACCTCATTATACACTCTTATTATATTTGCACAGATATGATAGGAACAAAGGGATAGGAACTAGCCGAACAAAAAGACAAAAATTGTCTTTTCTTTCGGCTAGTGACTCTACTTAATATACGCAAAGTCCTTCTTCAATTCTTGTTCGCTCATACTGGGAATCACCTTCGCCTAGTCTATTATTCTGATCTTGGCAGGAAATTCTGGAGACTGCACGCTTTTTGGTCATCTTAGAACTTCTTCTGAAAGACATCTTAGATAGTCAACAGAATAACGGCACCAAAACAAAAATGATTTTTTATTTTGCTTACTCTCTCCCATATTTTGCTGACTATTAGATGTTTTACTTAGGATAGTTTCAAGTTCCGCAAAAAAATTTATGCAAATAAATTAAAATTTGAAGAAAGATTGGCAATGCGAGGCTATCATCAAGTTTGACTAGGACAATACCTTCACCTACGGTCACGATTGCTGGATAAGAAATATCAGAACGCAATTCCGAATATATGCAGCAGAAATTATGTTCTTTCGAGATGAGGCACGCCAAAATTCGAAACTCCGCAACCTGATATACCCTCTCTTGTGAAAGTCTGGACTGCAAACATGAAATCTGAGGAGAGCATTACACAGGTATTTCAGTACATCTGCATGAAAGATGGTCAATGAGCAAATGGAGAACAAATGATTTGACTACACTGAACCTGTCATACTGTCACGCATCAGAATTCAGTCACTGAAACTGTGATTGCCCTTCGGCCGGGATCACTAGGAAACTAACACCCGAAACGGTTGCCTTGCAACTCAAAACAAGTAGCTTGGTGTAAAAATCAATAAAGAGGTTTAAAACTTCAAGCTTCAATTTTTTGTACACTACTATTTACCATGTTGTTCGATTCTAATGCAGTTCACTTGAATCTGTTTCAACTTCAATATCGCTTCTCGAACAGCAGGTTCCGCGGTTTTGTTCCATCGCATCAGTTCCTCATTACGCTTTTGCACCAGGTCATTGACCTCCTGCAAAAAATGACCGTTGTGGGCTTTGATGGCGCATTTCGAACAAAGCAACGATGATGAGCAATCCGAACAAAGCCAGCATTCGTCATCGCTGCATGGTCGGTTGCAACTCGTGCACGAATACTTCCTTTTCTTGTTTATGATCACGTGGTGCTGAACCAGATCCTGAAAACTCATTGTAAACTTCGAAGCCGGCAGGTCGCAAGGAAGTATATCAAATTAGGTAGTAATAATACCCGTAGACAGAAGTTGGTCTGCAAACCATCGCAACGAACCTGCGTGGTCGCGCGACATACCGGGCACACGATGACGTCAAAGCTCCTTATTTGGTCGCAGCAGTTTGAACAAAGAGAATGGCCACAGTCGAGCACCTTAGGATCCTCGAAAATCTGGACGCATACCGGACACTCTAACAAAACGGAACAATTGCTCTCTGCTTTTTTGTTCGTTTCCTTTTTGTCCATTATCACAAACAAGTTCAGAGCATTTCGTCACTTTTCTAAATAACGGTTGTGCGAATATGAAAAAACAGCTTTCTGGAAAAATCGTTAAGTGTTGACTGTGTGAAAAGTTACACATTTATTAAATTTCTATAAGTCAATTATAAACATCACGCGTATGTTCGTGAGTGACTAAAAATTAGGTATCAAATGGTTTTATGGTTCCTGTAATGAATCACCCAATGAGATATACCAGGATATTATGTAATAAACATGGCCATATTAAAGGCTTAACGGGCATAACAGATTAATGATAGAACGTTCGAGTGCTACGGAATATTTTCTAGGGGCATGGTTATAGTACTCAATCGTAAAAGAAATAGCTGGGGTTACATCTTGTGCTGATCATTACACTGTACAATGAGTGCGAAGTGCAGTCCCAGAGGGCGTCCGTACCCGACAGCATGACCGTAAGCCTCGTTCATCTAGGTAAGACCACACCAGAGCACCAGGCTGTTTCTACTTTTCGCAAGTCATTGTTGACCCGCTTCTCGGCTGGCTGCGCTGAAGCAACGCGGGATTAATTCCTAGCTCAAGGGAATTTGCGACTAAGACAAAGGCTGTCGATTCAGTGGATTAGAATCCGGCACTCTAAGTTCAAAGAGGCCTCTTCCCACCCCATTATCTCATGCCACATAGATTAAACAATGAACGATACAATATACCGTGAAATGCGGTTTTTGAATGGTTAAGTGCTCAAATATTGCAATCACCAT